TCATATAAATGTGGGAGTTCTACTGATTTTCTTTTTTAATGAAGAAGACGAACGTTGAAGATAGTGAGAGAGAAAAAATTAGTTCTCTGTAAAAGAGAAACGTGGGGATGGGGGTGTGGGATTTACATGTGGGTAAAAGAGGAAGGTGGGAGTTGCTGTGTGAAATCTAGAAAAAAATCCCTAAAATGGTGTAAGAGATAATGGCAATTGATTCTCTAATATTAATGTTATCCCTAAAATGGTGGAAGAGATAATGACAATTGATTCTCTAATATTAATGTTATTTCTCTTACTTATTAATTATAATGTAATTATAAAAATAATAACTAATTAATAAAATTAAATAAATTAAATTATAAATTAAAACTAATCTGTTAATAATTGTAATTAAACTGTTATAAGTAGTAATATAAAAAAAGTACATTTAAAGGCTGTAATATTAAGCCTTAAATAGATATATGAGGTGATTTTTCCTATTTTAAACCAAATTATTAATTGGGAATATTTTATATTAATTTCACATAGTTAAGAAGCATTTTTTTTACACGGTACATATTAAATTCATTGTTCTTTTTTTTTTCTCGAAAATTCATTGGTCTTCGTATTCTAACATTTGTCAGTTTCTTTTGGAAGATAGAAAACGCGTAATATTTGTTTTAAAAAAATTGAAGTTACGAAAGTTAAGAAGGCAATAAAATAAATAAATTGTAAAAAATCCTATTCTTTAGGCTTATTCACAAACTGACAAAACAAATCTTTGAATTCCCTCTAAAAATTAATTCTTCTCTAATTAAATTAAATTTTCAAAAATAAAACTGACCATTTCTTTTTCCCTTCCGTTTCTGCTATCCATCATCCTAAAATACTGATGAAAAAAATAAAACTCCTTCAAAATCTCCAAATTAGGAATGGAATTCAATTTTTTAAATTTTTTTCACAAACAAACAAAATAGCTTTTCTGACCCGATAGTTTTGTCACAAAATCTGTATGTTATAAAATTTCTTTTCTTTTAATGCGTCTTCACAAGAATAGAAAGAGAAAGAGAAAAAGAAAATAATTAAACCTTTTATTTATAACCCTTCCTTTACTTCCTGCAACTTTTCAGTTTTTCAGTTTCCATAAAAATTTGAATACTTATTATAAATATACACAACACAAGAAAAGTAAACAAGTTATAGGTTAGGCCTACAAATGTTAGCATAATAGTACAATATATGTATCTATCATCTTCTGTGTTTGGAGAACAAATCAACTTGTTATTTGTGAAACCAAAATTTTACCGTGTTTTGGTTCATCTATTGCCTGATTTTGTTTTGTTATTGATGCTTGTGGGTTTACAAATATGGCCATTCAAGCGCATTTGTATTCGGAGAATCTCGGGTTTTCGTTAGGGAGTTTGCAGGATTTAATGGATGATAATGTTTGTGGATTCAATCAATTTTGTTTCAATCCTCAACCGGAGCAGCAGCAGCAGCAGCAACCGTATTTGTTACAAATCCAACAGCAGCAGTTTCAAATTCTGAATCAGAAAAATAACATTCAGAATTTGATGAATTCATCAAATTCTACTATGTTTCCTCATAATCTGGCTTCTCAATTTGAGAAACAGAGAGTCGAGATTGATCAGTTCATTAGTTTACAGGTAACGCTTACTCCTTCTGTCTCAATTTATGCGATTTTAATAAGATGATTTGTAGTTGCGTACTAACAATTAATTGATTAACAGAACGAGAGATTGAGATTGGCTCTGCAAGAACAGAGGAAGCAACAAGTGGCATTAATTTTGAGAAATTACGAATCAAAGACTCATTTATTACTGAAACAAAAAGACGAAGAAATTGCGAAAGCAGCAAACAGGTCGAAAGAGTTGGAAGATTTTTTGAAAAGGATAGAAATGGAGAATCAAACATGGAAGAGAATTGCGAATGAGAACGAAGCCATTGTTGTTTCTTTAAACAACACAATTGAACAACTAAGAGAAAATGTCTGTTTTCAATCATCCAATGTAGGTGATGCAGAGTCTTGCTGTGATGTACAACCAATTGAGGACAAAGTACAATCATCGATAAGGATGATGTGCAAAAGGTGTAATTCTAGTAAGTCATGCATGGTTTTTTTGCCTTGTAGACATCTTTCTTCATGCAAAGATTGTGAAACTTGTCTCCATTCATGTCCTCTTTGTAACATGGTCAAGAAAGCAACTATAGAGGCTTTGATTTGATCTTCTTGCAAAATGACAAGTGTTCCAAGCTTTTTTTCCCCTAATGTTTGGTTCTGGACTTTGATTAATTTAAATTTGCATCGCCAAAAGTATCATTTTTCAGAAAAGTCAATTCCTTATTCAATCTTTGGAAGGGTACTTCTATTTAAGTTTTAGTGAACATAGTTCCAATGGAATACTTTTGTTCCATAGAATTGGGGTCTTTTATAGAAACCTCCGGGCCTCCTACCACCAAAAAAATGTTTATATAATGCAAGAACGCTCACATTTTGTTCTAAGGGAAGAGATTTTCTGTCAGATAATTTTCATTTCCAATTTCAAATCCTAAATCTTTCATTTAGGATAAAAGGATCTTATCTATTCTATCAGAACCTCCACCGCCGTTCATATAATATAGGAACACTCACATTTTGATTTAGGTGTTTGTTATCACAAACTTTTCATTTCCAAATTCAAATTCGAAATCTTTAATTTAAAACGAAAGGATATCATTTATTCTACCAGAACCGTTGATAGTTAAAGAACATTGAGTTGTGGGATTAGTTTGGTAGAGTAGTCATATTCTAAATTCATAAATTACATTGTTAATCTTGTAACTCTTTTATTTTATGAAGCTGACTCATTGATCTCTTTTTGGACTTTGTTAATTTTGTGTACTCTCTGAGGGGAACCCCTGAATCATATAATTAAACAGAGTTATTATTATTATTAATAGTACAATGACAGGACACAGAGCATCTCTTTTATTTATAGTAATTATTTATTTCTTGGAAAACATTACTTTTACCTTTTTGGGGTTTTCAAATCATCCACTTTAGGATTGATTTGATTATTCATATCTGATTTTAACAGTCGTTTATTGTGTTTGTTGAAATGTGACTGTGAGTGCATGTCAGAAATTAGTAGGTAGGGTTTAGGGGGGGTGGGGGCACTGGTACTAGTTTTTATGTCAGATAATTTTTACTTTTTTGTAGTTGATCTCCTCTTCCAAGGAACCCACCTTTTTTGTTTGTTTTGGGATGGAGAATTTAATATAGAATAATTTATAGTATAGACTAAGGATAAGGGTCTGAAAAATATCTTAACTTTGTCGAATTTGCTGTTGCGATACTAAATTTTCATGAGGATCTATTACCTCCCTAGATTATTTAATACCGTATTTTAAACATATATATTTGCCCACTTGGACATAAAAAATAATACAAAATTATAAATAGTAATGTGTCCACGTGAGCACATATATACCTTTAAAATACACTATTAAATAGTTCAGGGGGTAAAAATATGGTATTAAATAGTGTAGGGAGGTAATAGGTCCTCATGAAAGTTTAGTATTGCAATAACAAATCTGATCAAAGTTGAAATATTTTTCAGAACCTTGTCCTATAGATTATAGTCAAACTTCTCTTCTCCATAATAGCATTGCTGTTATATACATTAACAATTTGATTTTTTATATTTTATTTTGTTATATATTATTCTATAGCATAAAACCAATAGTTATATTCATTATCGCACTAAAAGTATTGAAAAGTGTAAATTTCATATATGACATATATTATAGTACTATTTTCAAGCTATAGCAGTAGATTTAGACTTTCAAGCTATAGCATTAAAAATTTCAGGTTATAACAAGTTAAAAAAAAGAAGAAATATTTTTATTAATTGGAAAAAACTTAAAAAATAAATAAAAAGACAAACGAAAATAAAAAAAAACGAATTAGAAATAATAAAGTAAAAAACTGAAATTGTGGGCTGTAATTTAATTTGAATTTATTGTAGATAATTAATGATTAGCATGAAATAAGGGATCCAAACTAATTAAGAATATTCAGTTCCTTAATTCACTCTAATTTGTTAAAATTAATTCAAAAATCTAATTTTAAAAATAAATTTCTATTTATTTAATAAATGATTAATCTATTTATGATTTTTTATTATTAATTAATAATATGTAATTAATAAGGCAAAAATAAAAATAAAAACGGAAATAGGGTGTCAATTAAATTTGAATTAATTTAAGATAATTATTAATTAGCATGAATTAAGGAATTTCAAACTAATTAAGAATATTCAGTTTCCTTAATTCACTCTAATTTGTTAAAATTAATTCAAAAATCTGATTTTATCCATTTTTCTTCCACATTTCTCTCTCTTCAATTTTCTTCCAGAAAATTTTTCACTGGCGACTAATTGAAGTTTTTTTTTTGTTTGAAAAATCCTAATTTTTTTTGTGATGGACAACTACGTAAATAAAATTTGAATTGATTGATGATAATTATTAATTAGCATAAATTTAGGAGATTCAAACTAATTAGGAATATTTAGTTTCCTTAATTCACTCTAATCTGTTAAAATTAATTAAAAAGT